AGCTATTTCTACTGGATGTTTTGGATTAGAAGAGGCAAGGAGCGTTTTAAATTTGAAAACTATCGAGAGTACAAAAGTAAGGATTCGGTCACTGAAGAAAAAATCATGGATCGATTGCAGCGAAGATTTCCAACACTGCACAATTCTTTCCCTTTTCCAGTCCTTCATTGAAGAAAAGCGACAAACTCATCAAGAAACGGAAGATGTGTTTAAGAAGGCTCAACGTCGCCATTACCACGACAACCTCTGTATTTTTGAAGCGAATAATGCAAAATATCTCACTGGTCGTTCCAACGAAGCACTTGTTGCGTTTCAAAGTCGACGTGAGAAGATCATTTCATCGCTTCGTAATGGAGCAAAAGACGATGAGCTCTATGACAAAGTTGTTGAATTACTATCAACGGGAGAACTGTATCTTTATACTGTGTTAATAAATGAAGAAGCGCTATTTAAGGCGATTTATGATGCGGCACTGGAAGAGGCAAGGAGAAGAAAAAAGTCAGTTGACAGGCAGAATTTGTTGGCCGCCAAGTCCTTTGAGATGTGGGGTTGGTTCTCTCCGCAACGCCATAGCTGGGATTTCTCTCTTTATAGTGACGGCAGTTGTGTTGCTGATTGTCCAGTAAAGCTTCTTTGTTACCATGGCATTCATCAAATACTGTGCGGCAAGCTGAACGAGGGCAGGCTTTCGCTTACAACCTGTGTTGAGCAGCTCAGCGAACACTGTGATGAAAGAGTTCTGAAATCACTTGTTTTGGGATTGCTGGCCCAATGTCAAGAGAGAGAGCAAGGAAATAAAAGCAGGCGTACGTCAGAAATTGAATATTGCCCATCACCGTCGCCTTCAAGTATAATTGACGATGGCGTCTTATGCTTCGTGCGTGCAAAATTATTAGCCATTGGTGATAAAGGACCATGTGAACACAGTGAAATACTATTTAAGATAGGCCTGCGCGTAGCAGAGATCTACGGCTTCTGTCACGCTGACGGTGTTGGACAACTACGCCTTGGAAAGTTGTTGATGGAGAGCCATCGATTATATGAAGGGTGCAGAGAGACGGTGAACCCATTCAGAAATCTCTTAGGGTTAGAATCGGTGGACACTGTTCCAATTGTCTCAATCCCCAATTTGGAAGAAATGCAAGATTTCGAAGTAGCTGAATTGTTAATCAATTCGTTATTGAATATGACCGCTACCGTCAAAGAGCTTCGTGTTGACCGCAGTGATTTTCAAAAAATGGTCTTGCGCGCACTTCATGTTAAACATCTACTTTTCATGGTTAAAAGCAGCTTGGAAAATAGTTTGAAATCTCAGGAAACGGTTCCTGGTACAGATTTCGAAGAACTTGCAGTAACGTACTACAAGTTTGGTATCCTCCTAGAACACATTCAAGACTTTAGTGGGGCAATAGCTTCATTCGAGCGGGCAATAGCTTCATTCGAGCAGGCAATACGATTGGGGGACGAACATGCTGGTGACTCTGTGATAATAGCTTCAAGTCGCGTATGGATCGGATTGGTTTACCTGAGGATGAACAGCCTTGATGAAGCTGAAAAGGCATTTCAAAGGGCTTTGGAACTTAGGAAACCTTCAGGGCTGGATAACTTTGAAGAACTAGATTTCATCTATAATGCTCTCTCTTTTATTCACCAGTCTCGTGGTAACCTTTCTGAAGCTCTTGGAGCACTTCAGGAAACTTTAGCTCTAAGGGAAAAACACTTAGATGAGAACTTTCTCACAGCCACGAGTTTTTGCGATGTGGGAGAAATTTATATCAGGAAGGGTGATTTTGCGGCCGCCCAAGAGGAAATTCAAAAAGCTTTGGACATGCTAACCAAGCTGGGTCATGTAGGAATTAGCTTTGCTATGTGTTGCTTTCATCTTGCTTACCTTCATTTTTGTTCGGCTTGCCACACAAACTTAGTCTTGGCTCTTAAGTTCTGCCAACAAGCTGTGCACATATTTATCGAGTCACTGGGCGAAAACGTATTTGCAGCGGATAGCTTGCTTTTGGAAGGAAAAATTCATAAAAGGATGAACGACAACCAGTCAGCGATTGAAGCTTTTCAAAACGCGTCCAGGATGACGTCAAATCTGTTAGGCGACCACGAAGATACAGCAGGCAGCTTCTGTTGTTTAGGAGAAAGTCACTATGACCAAGGTGAATACGAGGAAGCTGTCACAGCATTTCAGGAGGCCGCACGCATAAGATCCAACATCCTAGGAGGAGAAGGAGGAGTCGAGCTAGTGGAGAGCTATAGACTAACGGCATTCACATACTGTCGGCTTGGTTTAGCACAATACAGACTAGAGGACCTTCGTGGAGCTCTAGCATCTTTACAAGAGGCCTCGCGATTGGTAAGGGAAGCTTTAGTGGAAGACCAACTGACAGATCACATATTGCAGCTGATCAATCTTGTCTGCGATGCTCTTAGTGTAGGTGAACTGGACTGTGACTAAAATTCATGGGAAGACACTAAGATTGAAACACGTGCGAAAACTCTAGGATCTCCACTCTAACCAGTTTGCAACGCTGTTGTGATAGAGTTCAAACCAGCAGCATCAAATACGGACACAAAGAATTCTCCTTCGCCAGAATTTGACCATACCCAGAGGATTAGTGCTATGGCTAATCAAGGTCTTCAACATTCAATGACTTGTTTGATTTCGACCCAGCACCTGAACTGAGATTTTCAGATACGTTTGTAGGTTAGTTTAAAAGCACGATCAAGAAATAACAAACATTTTTCAGCAAAAACACGTTGGTTAAAAGGTACCAAAGAAAGACAAATCTCCCCCTCTAACACTTTCCTTCGCTGGATTTTGCTCTGTTTCCCATTCATTCATGCATGTTCATCGAAATCCGTCGAACAGGACATTATTATATGTTTTGAGGCAAGAGGACGTCATGATCTAACACGACATTCTCGGACATAAGAACATAGACAAAAGTTTAGAGCCTTTCGTTAAACTGCCATTGGCAAGGAAATTTTTTTATATATCTGGCGTTGATCAATTTTTAAAACTTATTTTTATGGCAAGCATTTTTAACGAATTAGTTCTGAGGAATTTAAGCCACACTTTCTAGTTTTGAATACAGACGTCTCTCAATGCTAGTTGTAGCTCAGTCCAGCTGCACTAGAATGAGTCGAGTGCTTTGTGGAGTCCCAGGAATGTGGAAAGTGCATTAAGCCTGGCAAAAAGCCTTGGGAATATTATGATTTTTTTGAGTCAACTTGTTTCACTGATTTTACAAGTTCACAATATTGTAAGGCACCAGGTGGAGAAGCAAGTCAAAGTTTCTTTGACTTGGAAAGGTTAAAAGAGTTAGAGCAGATGGTGTAGTAAAGAGAATTGAGTTTTTTTTTGGAACTGAATTACAACTCTTAGCTCTCCAAACCGGCTTTTTCGTCTCGATTATACAGCACAAGCGCTTGCTGGTATTAAATAAATAAGCAAATAAAAATTTAAATAACTTTTGATGCTTGGACTCAAATTGCAACCATTTCGGTTGCTGTTTAGTTAAACAGTAGACTTGCTCTCTACACGCAGATTCGCGCATTAGAGTTCTAAGTATTCTGTAAAAAAGTGAATTGAGATCTGTCCGAGGAACACTTTCTGTCAAAATGACGCACAGTTTTAAGTATCCACGTGGGAAAAGTAAAGGTACTTTTATTGGCTCTCATCAGCCACGGTACTCGGCTGACATTTTAATTCCAGTTTTTTTTTTCTTTTTCTTTTTTTTGGAACGGGGGGGGGGGGTTTGAACAAAGGAGTTAATATTTTTTGTATACAAATTTTTAATCACTGTGTGAGCGAGTGATGTAGGAATTTTTAAAACGCTCTCTATTCTTTGGTGTTCTCAGTCCATCTTTGCTTTCAGTTCTAAATGGTCCGGGGCGCTTAGAAACATCTTTTCAATTGAAAGGAAAGAGAAGCTGAATACTTCTTAGTTTTATGCGCAAGTGCAGTAAACAAATGTTTAAAAAAATTCAGGCTTCGCTTGTCGAATACTCACGTAATCGCACTTTTGAAGTGTGCACAACGTGCAAAGTGATTGGCAAAATTGTTCCTCTCTGTTTAAGAATACCCCAAGCTCGATTCCGAGTCAGCCTTTGAGGAAAATTGCTTATTCCGTGCGTCCCTCTGAGGGAACGTGGCTTTCGCGTGATCCTCGCTTGTTCCCTCGCGTGTGACCCTCGCGCATTTATTTTTTCTCGTACTGTAAAAACAAAAATCGTCTGAGTCTTCATTAGGGCAAGAAAATGTAACCATCCCCATATCTCATAAAAGTTCAAATATTTTTCGTGGTTTAATCGACAAAGATATAATTACTGGTATTTACTCTGCAAAAACTGTCGCTCAAGTGCAATGGTAAAAAACCATTAAAAAAAATCGCTCGGTTACAGACAGTCGTTTACTTGTGTTCTGGAAAATTTCAACGAGCCTCCCCTAACAAATATTTGGTTATTATCTTGTTTATTTTCGATTTTTAAATTTTTTTATAATTATCATTTCCCGTGTGAAATTGTCCTTTGGCTTAGTTGGGGTGAAACGATGTGGTTTGATTGCGGCCTCTTACAATTTAACGCAGTTTATTTTTAGATGTGATTTTAGAGAAGGTTAACAAGTTCAATGAGTCTGAAGTGAGCACAAAATTTTTAAAATATGGCGTAAAAAATAGAAAACACTTAACTTCATTGATAAATCACATGGGTTTATCGCTAATGTCATCAAAAAGATGAAGCCATGACAGACCCTGACAAGTAACGTCTGAAATGCTCGTGTCTTCACGTCAAACTAATTTACTCGTGGCAGACATATTCAGAAATTGTTGACAGCCTTCGGATATAAGTAAAGAGCACCGGAATAGAATTTCTCGAATAACTTCTTTGTTGCTATAGAAACTTTTGTGTAAAGGCGACGAGTCGTGACAAAACCGCTCAATTCATTGGTCAAAAGCTTTTCAACACTGAAAAGGGAGCTAATCCAAAGAGCGTTTTTTACCGTCACCTTATTTGCCGAGATTATCTGGATGGCCGAGCAAAGGAATGCATTTTGCATGGGGCATCTCACAAAGACGTGCTAGTTAAAATTCCTGTTTTTATTTCGAGAGACATTCATCTGAGCTGTTCGCTAGAACCGTAATCAGACCGGAAATATCTGAAATTTGTGTGTTTGGCGTGATAACAACTTGCGCACCACACGAACTGGCCCAAATTCACTCACGCTAAACTTTTCGCAAACAACTGCTACGTTTGCTCGCTGAGGCAAACGCGTTGGAAAACAAACAGTTATACTTGGCGCTGTTGGATTACCACCGAGCGAATGTCGAACGCGCGCGAACGAAAGAATAGGGGTGGCCAGATTTTCGACGAAAACAGCAACGGAATCAAAGATCCGAAGTTCTTGAGTCCGAATTCCTCGTCGAAAAGTCTCGATGTGTCCTCTGCTTCGGACAACGATTCTTGGGCCTCAGAAGATTCGTACCCAGACGAGCTACCCTCACCGCCAATCCAATGGAAATCGGAAATTCCTTGGACGCCTGATCGCCGCAGAAGTTCTATCAAAAAACCTCAATTTCAACTCGATCCAGTCGCGGTTCAGCTGAACGAATTCTACGAGAATCGCGTGCGGATAAGCTTGGAACGCAAGGAAATCTGTGAAGAAATCGCCTACAATGCAGTGCACAAATGTTTCCGTAAAATCCAGATGGTGGATAACCGATTTCGCGCTAATAGCGTCGTTTCGCAGGGAATTCCGTACGATGGATTACAAGCTGAAGAAGCCATTCAGATGGACATGCTTGTACAATTGTCCCCTGGAAGAAGTTCAGCCATGTACACCGCTTACGATGAGCGGACGGGCGGAATGCGCGTCCAGCCGAGCTCCGAAGATTACTCCGTCTGGGAGGACTGCATAACAACCAATGGCTTTTTGTCGGCTGGAAAGATCAACTCACTGCTTAGAAAGTACGTCAAGAAAGCTGTGAAGATTTTAAACTTTCATATCAAGGAGGGTCGCGCAGATAAACTGCCGAAGAATCTGAGTAGCATCTCGGTCGAGAAAGGACCGGTCATTCGAGTGATTGTGAATAAAGACATTTCGGTCGACATTTTACCAGCGTTTGTGATTCCCGATTCTCGTTCAGATCCGTCTCGCAGAGATTGTCCATCTTCATCGCACGTGGTTTGCAAACCGCACGTTCAAAACGAGATGATTTGGCGCCTATCATTTTATGTGGCGGAGAAAAACCGCATCCGAGCTCTTAGCGAGGGATGTCGTGTACAGCTGTTACGAATCTTGACCGAAATTCGCGACAATGAGGATCAACTGAAAAAGCTTTCATCGTATCACGTCAAGACACTGCTGTTCCACGAATCTGACGTTTATCCGGACTTTCACGAGTGGAGCGCGGAAAAAATCTCGCGCCGTTTCTTTGGCTTGTTAGAACGACTGAAAAAAGCGCTGAAAGAGGGCAACCTACCACATTATTTCATGCAACCGCCTGATTTCAAGCAAGTGAATTTATTCGCTGATCTCGACGGGAAAACTTTGTCAGACATGTTGGACGTTGTAGAAGACATTATGGAAAACCCAATGGGTGTTCTTAGGACTGTGGGTCGAGAGAGAAGACAGACAATGTGGCCTTGGGAGTTAGGCCTGTTTTTACCCGCGGGACTGACCTCCTAAAGTGGGACAGGTAAGTCTCGCCGCATATTTCAACTGTTTGCCATATCTAGGCGACGCTTTGATCATTTAACATTTGATTGTTAAAGTTAACTGACAATCTGTTTTTCGATCTGTTGTTCTCATTTTGAAGGTTATCTTCTGTTAAGTTGTTGGACGCAATTTCTTTCACACGATCTTTACTCAAGGTCAATACCAACTCTAATCCAGTTTTCAAAAAGCTTTTGTCTTTTGCAGCAAATGTGCCAAACGCTTTTGCTGAAATCATTTAAAGGCTTACGTAATTAAGTAACGATGCGTTGTTTTAGCTGCTTTTCAAGACTTCGGTTAGTTTGCTTGCCAGTGCAATGCAATTATTGACATATTTTCGCGGAAAAATATGAGTTTAATAACAACTTAACTCGCTCGATCATTTGATGCAAAAAAAAAAAAATTCTCTCTTTTTATCATCCTCTTAAATATCATGGGTATTTCATAATGATAAATTTATCTCCGGTTGAAAAAAGAAAATCATTAAAAACAGATGGTTAACTGTCGCGCCAGATAACGAGAGTTAGTGACGTCAAAAAGGGAAGAACTTATTTATTGTATCACATTACGCCTTGCAGTCAAATTTCAAGACGGAAATCGAAATTCCATTTGAACGCCAACATTTGACCTCTTTATAATCTAAAACAACACAGATCTGCAAAGAATAATACTTCATATATTCCTTTAAATGTTTTAACAGTTATTTAGCAGCGGTTTGCGATCGGTAATTATGGCAGTTTTGTCTCAGCAGAAAGACTTTTTCGTAGATGTCTTGAAACTTACGAAGTACTATCATGTAATATTCACTTGTTGTGCTATGAATAGTACAAGTTTTAAGTCAAGCTATTAAAAGAATCCAAGAGCTCTTTTGACGGTCAAAACCATCGTCGTTGTGTTATAAAAAAAATGATCTGGGCGCTTAGATCATCACTAAAACACTTTTGCTCCAGTAGGTTCATTAAGGTTTTCTCGAGTACAGAATGTTAACCTTAACATGCTACAGTAACCCAAGCCTGGCGTTAAATCGGAGAAAGTGATGCAAATTGCCAAAAATTCATTATAATTCCAATAGCTGCTTATTAAATGAATCAGAAATTATTTTAAATAGCAGCTCATTTCACCTAGCATAACATCACATCCTACGAGCAAATATTTCTCTGACAATCCACTTTACTAAGAAAATAAACCAAAGAACAGTAATTAATTAAATCGAAAACTATGACATTCCTGTCTAATTCAGAATGCGTGGAATGTTGAATGTTCCTCACAAACTTCACCAAAGGTATTTAATGATAGAATGATAAGTGATTAAAGGAGCTTTCATAAATTTTATTATTCAACACTTTTGCAAGGTAATTGACGACAGGGGCAAATAAAATAAGCAATTTGAAGGTTTAACATTTTAAAATAGGTTTCTAAAATAGGTTTCTATTTGCATAAACTCATGCAGTAACGCGTGTGTCGTGATTGGCGCCTCTCGCTCGTAAATGTTTGGCGTGAATTAATGCTGTACATTCTAAATACCATTGTTCATAAATTTCCTTTTTCAGAAATCCATTTTTAATGACCCTCATGATCACAGCTGGCTGGCGAGAAACCAAATCATGACACTTATCCGCCTTAAATCAAGAGTCAAACCAGCATGTGTGAACCGGATCAACTTGATGGAAGCCACTTCAGCGAGAGTTGGGAACTTGACGAGTTCAAGAAATCGTCAGAGGATTAGGAAACAGTCCAGAAATACTTGACATTAGTCAAAATGTTCGCGCTTGGAAGTATTCAAACTCGTTCACCTAAAGTCATCAAGTCACGTAGAGCGTAAAAACTATGCAATCAAGAAAAGTGTGTCACACAAGAAACGAGCAACAAAGTCGATTTTCAAAGGTTTTTGTTGTCCTTTTTACGCTTCACGTTTCCAAGTTACCGCGATTTCGATCGAGTATTGCATTTCAGGAACGTTAGCCAAGAGTCTTTCGCCTGTTTGCCAAAAGCATTTTTGTGGGGTTAATTTTTCTTGAAAACAGATTGTAAAGTGTAGAAGTTTTGAAATTCGTTTGCCGCAACAAAGAACACTTTAGCAACATGCATCTTCACGGGTTTTTTTTCCGGAGTGAATCGGTGTGTAACTTCAAGAATAAGGCTACTCTAGGTTTTCTAATAATACATTATTTTGATGTTTTATCATTTTTCCTATCATGAAATCCACTGATGGAAAAATAGCATAAATTCCTCGTAATAAATTATTCAAAGATACATCTTTTCTACTGTTTTTGTAATCAAATCATATCTGGTCTCTGAGGCATACACATGTTATAATGGACCTGTTGATTCCAGAAGTCAGGTCCTTTCCATCCACACCACCCCTGCAAAAAATAATATGAACAACAAAATCATACCAGGTATCAACAGGCTGATCATAGACCCACCCCTCCCAAATCTCAAATAATCCTTGTCCAAGGTCACCTGTATGACAAATAAATTCCTTCACAACCTCACCTTGTCTAATACGACTTTGAGATCTTCCCCACCAGTGTAATGCGGATCAAGAATTAAGAACCTGCACAGGATAATAAAAAATGATGAGAATTTCCTTTTTCACAGGACAGAATATGCAGAACGCTCATCATCCCCTTCAGTCTTGCATTATTCTAAAATTAATTTGCCATTGAAGGTTTTGCATCCTTCATGGTAGAGAGAGAATTCATGGCTTATTAATAATAATACTTTGGAGAAAAATATAAAGCCAGTTAACAAAATTCATTATTACCATAATCACTGCATATTGAGATTAGATGACTATGAAGACGCAAAGATTTTTTATTGTTTCTCTAGCAGGAATGTTTGAGAGAAACATGTTATGATTTACAAATCGGAGGAGTGCATAAAAAAAGGCTCCTAGATTGTTCCTGATAGACTGATAGATTCTCCTCTCAGATTCCATTGTCTCCTTGTGAAACAGGAAGAATTTGATTTTGCATCAAGTTGCTCAAAGCTTTTTTCCCTTAACCCTAAATTTCTTCATCAGAAAATAAAAAATCAAACTTGTGGGTGGTGTTAAGCAATACACCAAACTTTCTTTGAAGTAATTAATAGCACACTAACCTTATGTCCCCTGTTTGATCATTAAAATCAACCCCCAGAATGGTATGTGCTAAAACACCACCTCCTGTTTGACAAAGCAAAATGTAAAATGAAAAACAGTCAATGAGAAAATACTCAAATAAGTGTCTTGCTGCCCCATTAGCCCTTCAACTCCCATAAGTGACCAAGACAGAATTTCTCCTTACAATAACAATACTATATCAAGCAGAAAAGTGATGAGAATAACGACAAATATCAGATGGAGGACTATTAGTTGATCCAGCACCAAATTCTCTGAACTAATATCATAGGAAAAGGATGGCAGACAGTAAGGAGAATTATTAATGACATCTGAGAGTGAAAGGGTTAAGACAACATACCAATCATAATGGGAGTTCCTTGAGTCTGAAAATGATGCAACAGATCTCTCCCTTTGGTGCGCATCTCTGCTCCAGTGCTGACAAACATAATCTTTGATGTGACTCCCAAAAGATGTTCCAGGCACATGCTGACTTCAAAGGAGCCTATCCATTGCCGAGAACCCACAAACTCCTTGCCTTTGTCTTGGAGATCAACAAGTGCTTGTTGAATTTCCCGATGGCTTGGGACAGACTTGGATGTGTAGCCTTGGTGAACAAACCAGGAAGCAATGGTCTGAAGTGATCGGTATGCACAACCCCACCCCTGAGCAGAACAAGAATATTGTAGCAGTCACTAATCGCTAACATAAACTTCTATTAATCCTGAAGAACTTCAGCTGATAGGACACCACTGGGGCCACAAAGGGTGTCCCCTGATTAGAGGTGTCCCTTCAATGAAGGTAACAAATACAAATATTTTTGGTCAGGGGTATTTTTCAGTTGCAACCAAAGTCTGTGTCCTGGGAGGGGCCATGTTCCCTGAATTCAAGCATTTTCCCTCACAGTTTAACTGTTGGTGAAACAAACACCAAGGTCATGAGAACAAAGGAAAAGGTTGCTAACTAAAGATGCTCCTGGTTATTCAACAAATTCTCCTTGTCAGTATCTCAAGAAATGTACAGAAAATAGTATGGAGAATATGCATACCGATGAAAGGGTGTGTAAGAATTTCTGCTACATCTAGTTTTCATTTCCAAAATAATTTTGGCTCATGATTGTAGTGTTGTAAAATTTGAGGTGCTCACAACTGAACAAGTTTCATCTTACATCTATGCACCTCTAAATTTTTTCAGAGAACTAAAATTCCAACCACTGACATACCCCCCCTCCTCCCTTCCAAAAAAGTTCCTGAATGCAAGTCTTGATTTAAGATACATACATCATCATTGAAGTTATCCTGCATGTAATGGTGATAGGAATATGTTCCATCGACAACTGCTACAGTACCACAAATCCCTGGAAATCAAAAGAAAGTAAACACTTTTTCCATCAATGCACTCTGATGAAACAGTCTAATACACAATTCAGTAAAAATCAATCAATCAAATTGAGCATACCTCCCACCAATCCAGTGTGAGGATTTGTCAAGTAGATACCTAGATTGTATAGAAAAGAGAAGTGTGTTCCCATGAGTGACCAAGTGAAAATTTCTCCTTACAATATCAATACAATATCAATCAGACAAGAGAATAAAGAAGATATCAATTAGGGGGTTATAAGTTGATCCAATACCAAATTCTCTGAACTAACATCATAAAAATTGTATTGCAGACGGTAAGAACAACTAAGGAGATCTGATTTAGCTCAAATCCCTCAAAAAAAGCTTTTAAACCATCACAGTATTTTTAGATTTTTTAAGTGTTGAATATTTCTCCCACCCAAACATAGACAAGGCAGATATAATCTAATCAGCAAAGAGGCCCCCAAACTACAAGAGCCTGACCTGGTTTACAAAGAGTACGCAAAATAGAAGAAATGCTTTTCCTCCTCGATCTGACATAAGTTCACCTCAGGTTGACTCCCCCTCCCTCCATGCAATATTTTTTCCAGGTTTCCCTTATTGGTTTGGAGGCATTTTATAGAATTTTCAATTCATCTATAAACATCCACTAAAATTAATTATGCAGGGTAGAAATCTTCTTGGGAATTGGTCTTTGTTATTGTTCCTTTCAACAGATACCAAATTGTGTTCCATCTCCAAACTATTTCATTCCTTTGCAGGAAACTGAAAGACTTCAGTTAACAAACTTTGGGAGTCCAATCAGTTCTCTTACAAGAAAACAGCTCATTACACCACTTCCAGTAATAACTAAAAAACTCACAAACCTTGCTGCCTCTCATTTTCAAACTTGTATCTGTTGGAAGGTCTCATGAGAGGTCTGTTTTCTGGCAGAAGAAGTCTTTTGTGAAGTTTCAATCTGTATGATACTGCAAAAAAAAAGTCTATGTCACAACAAGATGCATACTCTCTTAACAACCTTTTAGGATGAAATTTCTTGAAGTTCAAAAGATTTGAACAATGTGATCATGTGGATTTCTTGAATGAATGCTCATTTTGGTATCATTTTAGTAGTTAATAAAGAAAGATTTTTTTTTGACTTGTCACAAGCTTGGGACAAAGAAAAAATTCTGAGTCCCCATGAGGAATCGAACCTCAGGCCTTCAGATTCTGTACTTCAATGCTCTACCACTGAGCCACAGAGAGTTCATGGTGAGCGAGGTCCATTACAAAGTTCATAATTATATGACATGTGTCCTGCATACTGCTTGCATCAGCAATGTTGATAGCAATTTCAAATTGGATTTCTTTGTATTTTGCCTTGTTTGTAACTGGAACTAAGAAAATACAATGAAAGTACACTAGTTTAAAACCACTGCGACCCAAACTCATCTCAAACTACCAAATAATTGAACTGACCAAGTTCATCCTCTTCTGTTGGTTCATCATCTCTTTTAATGCTGGGATAAACAGCAGTCACCAAATGACAAAACCCAGGAAGCTTGAAGTGATGCACTTTAACAAGAGCTAATGAGCCTCCCTAAAACAAGAAGTGTAAGGAAAGATTGTGAACTCAGTAATGAGCAGCTTACTTTTCTTTAGCTACTCTCTATTATCTTAAACAGGAATGTGTCTTCCATTTAGGCTTCATTTTTCATTAGAACTCCAACTTTAGCCTTCTCACTCCCTAGATCACACTATAAATTCTCCCCACTGTCTCACCCACACTTTTGATAATTTCAGCACTGAGAATTTGTTTTCAAATCAAACAATATCCCCTTGTTAATATTTTTCTTGAATTTTCATCACTGTTCTGCTTGAAATTGTACTAATATTGTAAGGAGAAATTCCATTTTGGTCCCTCCTGAGTTCAAACGGGGTTGAAGGAAGATGGTGAATATCTACCACAATTGAAGCACAAAGGAAAGTATTTCGTCCCTCAACAAGAATTTGAACCTCAGACCTTCCAATTGGCTTCTCTTAAGTTTGAATTCTAAGTTTAGACAGGAATCAGATTTTTCCTTTGTCTTACATTTGATACATGTTTGTTAATTTCTTCTTTGTTTGATAAGCAAGCTCAAAAATTTCTCATCATTCTTAATCTATTTCTACACAACTCAAACTTAATGTTAAAATTATTCAATTTTATTTAACATGTTCATTTTAAGTCTGATGACTTAATACAATGAACCCTGCACAGAACAGAGGCGACACAATTCATAAAATATCTTTAGATTTAACTCAGAAATACATGACTGAGTTCATTCCAATTGGCAGAAAGAACCAGTTAACCATACCTTGGAAAACTGTGCCATAATTGAGGCCATCTTTCTAAGCTGATTGCACATGGCAGAAATAAATAACTTTGGCAGACTTTTCAATGGAGTGTCCCTTGATAAATTTAACACCACATCAAGCGCCAGGTTGTACTTAGTTTTTGACTTTGTCTCTATGAAAACAAAGTAAAACATTCAGGAAACTTCTCACAGGCTTGGTTTTAATTTTGACTATTATACAGTGACATTATGATTATCATTTTACCACATTAAATCTCTAAAATATAGAGCTTTGATAACAATGTGCTTATTGACTGAGTGGAAGGGCTGTAGGGGAAACATTTATTTTAAGGGGCCCATGTATCATGACAGAGAGCCAAATATTTTCACATGCAGCCTGCCCTAACTCATCAATAAGCATTTTATTATTTGACTGTCACTCTTCTCTTTGTCCTTTTTTCTTTCAGCTCACTTGGCCATGATGCCTTCTACAGCCCTGCCCATGCTAGTGGGTAGGAAGGGCCTGGCTGTATTACCCTGTATTGAGTTTGAGACTACAAATGTTGGTAGATATACACTTTTTTTGGATCTTAGTTAGATATGACATCATGGACATTTGTCTGGGCAAAAAATAGTTTTGTACAAGTCATATCAATGATAATAATAACTATTGATTTGAATACAGCATGGGGTGTCACCTTTCTTGTATTGGATAACTGGCACAAATGCTTCATGATCCCTGATATTGTCTGTCAGCTGAGATAAGTATCGTACATCCAGTACATCCTAGGATAAAGGAGAGGATATGATTGTGAATGGAAGACCAGTGCCACATGACAACATCTGTTTCTACACTGGCCTGTATATAACAAAAGTAAAGCCTCAAACCTTAAGTTTCACGGAGCCAGAAGGAGGAGCAGGCTTTGCACTTTTCTGTTTTCCTTTACTCTTGCCTGATCCATGTATACTTTGCAATTTTTCTTGTCCTAATTCAATCCTTTCCAAAAGTGATTCGCAGCTTATTGACTCATCACTTCCATTATCCACATTCTTAAGCAACAATTTACAGTCTTTTATATGGAAGGCAGTTGAGGTTGAATCTAATTCTTTGCAAGACTTTTCAATATTCTTTGCAATTTCTGACATACCTGTGAGAGAAGTAAAAAAAAATTCTCACTTTTCTTTCAAATATCCTTATAATTTTATTCCTGTTTTTATCTTAGTTTTTCTCCCTATAACTTTTCAGTTCTTCATACATCAGGACATTTCAAGTTTGCATATACTCCACTCTACTCTTTATTTTAGAAATTTATGGCTATTAGGTTTGTTTGATCAGGAAATATCTTCACACTGATGGAAAGCAATCATGGTAAGCAATGACAGGGGTCAAAATGACAGCCGAGCAATGGACAAAACCCAGTCATATTTAGGTTTTCCCTGGCCAACTCCTTGGATGGCAAGACATTTTGTCTATTGGTTTACAAATGAAGAATTTAATTCCAAGCTAAATTCAGGTTGTAAATATGGCCATATCACTTTTCCTGCATTGAGTTTGAGACTACATGTATGATGCAAGAGTGGCAGATATACCACTTTTTTTGATAAGGAGGGGGAGGGGGGGAGGAGGGAATTATTTAGATATGACATCATGGACATTTGTCTGGGCAAAAAACAGTTTTGTTTGGCACCAACTGGAAATTGTTTCAAGCCTTGAATGATCAACATTTACTGTCCCCTATTGAGTTCACAAAATAATCATCATGATACTTTGAAAAAATACTGATATATCATGCTATAAAAGGGATAAGTCAGCCATCTTAAGAACATACCATTTTGATCTCTTGAGACAGATAGAGGTATGTTTGCTTGAACTCGAAAGCAAATCCTCTTTTTCTGAAATTCTTCCTGTATACATGTTTCTTGCCATTCACACTCAGACACTGATTCAAGATCCTTGTTGTAAATAAAACACTTTTCTCTTTCACCATCACTGGTATTTATGTGCTGGAACAGTACAAATGGACTGTTGGTTACTGAATCATCCTGTGAAATATGAAAAGTTAAAATGTAAGGATGTATCTTAGTTGTCTACTAATAATTCCTCTAATTGATATTTTTATTTTTTTCTAGTCACTTGTCTGCTTGACAGTGTATTTTTTTCTAGTCACTTGTCTGCTTGACACTTGTCTGCTTGACAGTGTATTGATATTGTAAAGAGAAATTCTGTCTAGGTCACTCATGGGAGCTAAAGGGTTAATTAAACCTTTTACTCTTGGGAGTGATCAACATGAAAAGTCTCCTTACAAATTTATTTATTGTTCTCTTGTGGTTCATCTGATTGTCTGAGCACAAGATAAAAGAGTTTGAGATTATCACTGTAACTAATGTTTTTGGAATTGAATCCAAAATCAATGATGAAAAACAATGGAACACAAAGGTTTCATTTTAGCCCTTTACACCCTAACATCAAACTGCATATTCTCCATACTGTTCTCTGAGTATTTCCTAAGGTGCTGACAAGGAGAATTTGTTTAGCAATCAAGGGCTTCTTTAGTTAGTGATCATTTCCTTTATTCTCATTAATTTAGTGTCTGATTCAAGGGTGGTATTGTAAGGAGAAATTAGATACCAGTCACTGACTCTTACAAGTACGTCTATACTTCTAAATTGAGTTCTAGAGAATATATTAGAGATTCATAATCTAACCTTTGAACATTTTCCATCTAATATTCTTTTAACCTCATCAGGTTCTAGATTTGTTGGTTTGACACATGAATAGTAAATTCCTACCATATTTATCCCTATAAGAGGAAAGAATCAGGCAGAGTTAATAATAAAATAACAACCATTACAATTTTTCCTTCTTTACATAGAAGCTACATGCCTTCCCCTATGGTCAATGCTAATATATATAGGTGGCTCAGTCTTAAAATCTAATTTTAAATGAAGGTACTATTAGAGAATCCTAAATTACATTACATTAATAATTATATAATAACAAAGAAAATTATTATAATAAACAATAAAATAAGAAAGAGGGAGAACAGCTTGGTGGATGAATTATGTAGAATGGTTAGGACTTTTATATGTGTTAACAATTACTTTGAGGAGAATTTACTGATGAAAGATATTATGTATGTCATGAAAGGAATTGTACCTAGTAGTAAAATTGTTATTTTAAATTTGAATGATTCTTTTGGAAATTCCCTAAAAGAGGATACCAATTCTTGAGAAAGCATTTTTACATTACAAGGTTTGAGGGTTTTAAATTAAATTAACTATACAACTATGATAATTTGTTATTACTGATGGATTGAAAAGCTTAATAAAGAACAAAGAGAGGCCAATCAAACAGTAGATGGCTTCATGAATTGTTGGTTGGCTCACTAGATGAATAGAAGGGATTATGAATGAATGGTTGGAAACATGATAAAAAGGGTTAATAAGACAGGCAAGATGTGAATTGATGATGGGTTAAGAAAAAAATTTAAGCAGACAGACCAACAGACGGTGTTCTGTGTTGTTCCGTGCTACAAGAAACTACATGTTGGAGGCAATTCTATGAGCAGTAAAATCACTGCATATTTAATTAGCCCAATGACAAAACAAAGCAAGCTATCAATCGTAACATATTGTAACAGACCAACAGAAAAACAAATAAAAGGGTTAAGTTTCTAAAAAAACCATAGTGCTGCATCAGTGGGAGGGTATAACAGGTTAAATTTAGTATTATCAAAGTAAATTGGCCACCATAAAGAGTTTAAAAGGTGATATTTCAGAGCGATTGCAATGGGCTAATGCCAGAAACTTCAGCTTTTAAACTCTTTATGGTAGCCAATTTACATTATCAACTCAGTTGATAATACTTCATTACCCCAACAGACATACAGACAGACAGACTTACAGATGGACAGACAGACTTGTAGACAAATGACCAAAATGATGAACAAATGAATACTTTGATAAGACTAGCAAAATAATTTGTAATTTATCTATACATAAGACCCCTGAAATAAAAGAAAAATTAATTCTGTATAATATTCATTTTAAAAAAACTAAGTCTGTCATGTTCATGTCTGTGTGCATTAATTAAGGTAGTAGAATATCACATGCAGATTACAACTTAAAATACAAACCGTTTGGAATGAGAGAAAACAATTCTGATTTCTCACTTTTCCAGTCAGGAATTCCTGGATACCCTTTCTTAGCTGGAGGATGACTTCCTGTACAAGCCACACATCCTATTATGCGAATTTTATTTAGGAAAACGTCGCCATAAAGATAGCAAAGAAAATTATCGTATTTTCCTTCCTCAAGATTCTTCGTCCGTTGAAGCAATTTCTTGAAAAATAAAATATACCAGATATTTATCTCAGATATCAAAATTAATAATACTAGCTATAGACATCGAAAAATTAACGAAAGCTGATATTTTTACCTGTTTTATCGAAAAATCGATAAAAACCTGCATGTCCGCCATGTTTTTTTACGGTAGCCCGCGGTATAAAACTTGCGGTTTTTATCCTAACCGTTATAGACGTCATGTAACGTTAATATATTATTTGTTTTTCTTCTTCATGAGATGATCAAAGCATCTTGCTTGAACAAAGCTTGTTTTACCATTCCTAAATTCTCTGAAAAATCGAAAATTATCACAGGATCTTATACCAAAGGGAGAATAAGTCTACTTAATATTTATGGAAAACTTATGGAATCGAAACATCGATGGAAATTTTTTCCATTCTTCTTCAGCTTTTGTAAACTCGCGGGCATCTGCAGACCCGACAACAACAGACTGGTCCAAACGGTTCATTTGTGTCATCCTTTAAAAAACATTTCATCAGCGATACATGCTGCGGAAAACTTTGTAAGTAAAGAGTCCTCTCCCCTTTCATTTTCTCATCAAAGGGAAAGGACATTGATACTGAGACATATTCTTGGTCATTTCTTGTGTATTGGTCATAGGCCAAATACGTCCTTTAAAGGAAGTAACGTCGAAACTGAAACAAAGGCCGATTGTTGCAGAGTGAAAGAAGTGAATGACTCGTTGGATGAAATTGGGAGTGTTAGTCAGATAAAAATGACAAGTGTAAATCAAAGAGACCCCTCTACCTATCACAAATGTGGTGATGTCAATCGAGATCAAGAACTAGAAAATCATCAGCATTGTGGTAAAAATACGAGTACTTTGGAACTATCTGGTGGATTTTCGGAGTCACCGTCTGAACAACAAGTACACAGTCCCACCGCTCCTGCTGGTGATGATGTGGAAGACAGAAATTTATTCACAATGGACACTGAGAGATCTGAATTGTCTCAAAGCTTTACAAATAAAAAAGAAACTGATAGAAACCGTGATAATAAGCCACTTGCCTTGGATGCTCTCACTGACCAGAAGCCAGGTGCAAAATACAAACAAAGAAAGGGAGACAAAAGAAAGGGAAAAGAGCAACTGAATGCATTATCAGACGTTGGCAATGCAGATGCTGCTGGTGCATGTGTGAACAGACACAATGTATCCTTGTCCCAAAGAAACAAAAGGCCTAAAAGGATACAACCAAACTTTTTCTTGGCTGTGCGCATTCATAATCCTCAGATACATGCTGGTATCAAGGTTATTCAAGACTCGATTGCCACACACAGTAAGGAACTGAAGCCAGCCTTTGTCTCCTTGGCAACATTGCATGTTACCCTCATGGTCATGCACCTAGAGGATGCTGAAGAAATTCAGAAAGCAGGAAAAGTATTGCATCAGTGCAAGACATCTTTGGAATCCATCCTGGCCAAAAGTGATGTGATGATAAGATTCTCTGGTCTTGGCCACTTTGGACATAGAGTTCTCTATGCAAAACTTGAGGAAGAGGGAAGTGACTTTTTGAAATCAGTTGAGGAAATTGTGCGTGAAATATTTACAAAAGAAGGCATCCCTTCAACTGATTCTCGAGAGTACAATCCTCATATGACTGTCATGAAGTTAATAGGCCATAACCAACAGTTGAGGAGGAGTGGGGTCAAGAAAATCCCTGAGGAGAGCTATGCAAGCTGGGTCGACTTCAATTTTGGGGAAGAGCCAGTGACAGCTTTGCACTTATGTGCAATGGGTGAGAAAGATACAGATGGGTTTTATAAGTGTATGGCAACAATGACATTTGCTGATTCAGATGAAACCTCTTCCAGTTGAACAGAAAAGGCAAGGACAAAGTCAGTAACATGAAAGGGAAGTCAAAGAAACACATCACAATAATCTTGGCCACGGTTTGAACTAAGATCTCACCATCCAGAGAACAGTGTTCTGGCCATTAGGCCACAATGTCTGCCATAGAGCACATTAGGATAGTTTAAAATCAATAGGATTCCATCAGTATTGCAAAAATTCATTTTCTTAATTATAAGTCCTCGTAATTTTATCTTTACTCTCAATGATGTGCCTATTTAAATTACACTATTTTAAGACTGGGCAGGTACAAGACAATTTAATATACAGTAAAGAGCTCACATTAAATAGTTTATTTTTTCCTATGTGTATAATGAACTGATTCTCTTTTATAAAATTTCATCACTGAACCAACAAATGCAGAAGAGGAAAAGAAAGATTATCACAACTCTAGGTCTTAGACTGAACTAATTTTATTCAGTCACTTAAGGTCATTCCTCTGAAATAGAACCTGCAAAACATTGCCTTTTGGTTGTTTGTCTCATGAGAATGTAAATTTTGAAATAAGAAAGGTGGGGGGAGGGGTGAGTAAGCGGCAAAATATACACCTTGTACTCCTTGTAGTTACCCATAGAGTTCCTTTAATATTATTAGAATTATATTTTTGAGTATCTGCTAAATGTGCACTTCCAAAAATTGTTCCTTTACCTACAATGAGAATTGTTTTACATTTATTTCCTCTTAATTATTGAAAGCCTAGCCCAGTTGCATTCTGATAATCCTATCATATTCTATGCATAGAAATTATAAGTTGTACTTTCAACTGGAAAAAAAAATTATTCATACTATCATTTAGTTTCCCATGAAATGAAACCTGGGACATTAATTTCAAAATTTAAAGACCATCAATCTTTTTTTTTGTATTTTTTACAAATTCCTTTGACACCCTTAAAACTATCTTAAGCAATTCAATTGCATGAAAAATTTTTCCTTCACGATATTTCATGTAAACAATCATGGGAGTATCCACTGATAAAAATTACAGGGGTATTTGTTGTACCTCAAAAGGGGGTGAAATTTGTAGATTAGTGTCATGTAAGGTATCAATTCTTGAACAACTACTATAGAGATTTTTGTTGATTTTTCAGTCCTTTTACCCCTCAGTGTGACCAGCATCTAATTTCTCCTTACAATAATGTTACTAAATCATTCAGATCATGAGAATAAAGGAAATGATCGCAAACCATAGAAGCTTTAATTGTTCAATTAATTCTTCTTGTCATTACCAAAGGTAATGTGTAGAGAAGAGTAAAGAGATTTAGGATTCTGATGTTAGAGTGTAAAAGTTTACAGGCCTTAGAGGTTGTCAGTCTAAAATAAATTAAGGAACTCAATGAATGTTACCTTCTTGTGTAAAATTAATGGGATCATGTGCTTTTGGTAGCCTCTGTCTAATTGTTAGTCATTGTTTGATCGAGATATCAGTTGATAGTCAATGGTTGGCTGATAATCAGTTAAAAGTGGGTTATTTGTTTGGCAACATTTGGTTGATAGTTGGTTCAAAATTGGTGAATAGTCAGACAAAACTCTACTAGAAAATAGTTGCTAGTCAACTAACGGGGGCGAGTCTAAGATTTTCAAAAGGGGGCACTATGAGTGCCATAGGTGCGAGCTTTCCAGGGGAGTCTGGGGACATGAAGATGCATAGTTCCCAATTGGCAGCCTCCAATTCACCGCACCCATGGCTCAGCAGCCTATTTGTTGTCTACAATGAAGATTTGGGCCACAAATGATGCCGGTTACATCTTGAAAGTTGTCTGATAATATTTTTTAGAACCTTTCTTACAGTGAGAGTTAGTTTTGATTTTTAAAAACTCAGTTCAGCACTGATATTAATTTTTGGTCCAGCTAAAAGGGGGGGTGGTATGGGCCCCCTCCCCCCCCCCCCTTGGATCTGCTACTGACTAACACAGCTTCAGTTGTATTGATGTACAGGTATTTGTAGTTGGCCAATATCTCATGTGACATTTGTTGAGTGTCAGTCAACTATTGGCTGATTCTCATTCACTTATTAGCCAACAATCAGCCAATGATTTCCTGACTGTCATATGACTATAGGTTAATCCTTTACACCCACAAGTGACTAAGACATAATTTCTCCCTACAATATCAAGCAGACAAGTGATGAGATTAAAAAAAACAAATAAATTATAGAATTCTCAGAATGTAAGGAGAATTGCTGATGAGATCTTGGGAGTGAAAGGGTGAATTACAAAGCCATTTTTGATTGAGTATCAACTGAGATACAAATCAAACATTTGTCCTTGTTCAAATAATTTAACACCAATTTAAATATGACAAGATTTCCTTAGGGACATCATGTTGCCTTAGGTTTTGTACAACACAGTTTTTCTTTATTGCCATGCGGCAAAGAACCCTTAACTTAGCAGGGGAGTCATTCATTTTGAATACTAACAGATTAGAGATGTCTTGGCTTCGATCTTCCATGTTCACATTACAACAGTGAGTGACCAGAAGCTGATGTCCATTTGGAGAAATTGTACAACTTGTGTAATTGTCTGTTCCTTTCCTATGATCCATTTGTAAAAGTTCTTCAGCATCAAATTCAGCCTCCTGCTTTGAAAGATTGACTTCATGCTTCAAAAAGACTGCAAATTGTCTCTTATTAGAGTCAGTTCCACTTTGGGGAATCACAATATAGTTATCATAAGGCGATAGAAAGAACTCATACACTGAAGATGCCAAATGTCCTTCAATGTTCACTTTCTGCAGAAGATTTCCACAAGTGTCCCAAATTAACACTGACTTACAGTCTTCAAAATCCATCACTAATTGATTTTCATCGTTTGAAGGCATTTTTATTCGTTGACCACTGCACAGTGCAAAAAAGAAATTTCCACTTTTAGAATATTTTGCGTCAGCTACAAAGTGATAGCCTTTGAGCTGTGTCTCTGCAATAACTGTGAAAGACTCCACGTCGATGAAAACCAGACCAATGAAAAACACGTAGGAACCTCTGCCTATGATTGCTATACTCTTCTGATCAGGGCTAAAATCAAGCAACTTCCACGAGAATGGATGATTCATTAACTCCATTTCATCACTTCTGATGTGACGCACACAATGGATTTGAAAACGATTCCGCTCAGCTAATCTCTTTTCTTCGACTGCGATTTCCAACAATATGAATTGCCCGCCATTTAAAATTACACCGAGCCAGTAGCGACCCCTCCGCAACGCTGACACTTTCATGAAGTTGACACTCCCTCCCCAATGAAAATTATTGCTATTCTGTCGCCTACACTTGTCTAATATCAGTTCCATTTCTTTGTGGAGCTTTTCATCTTTGTGATCGGAGTCAGGGCATGAGAACACAAGAACACAAATTCGAAAATCTTCCAAACGAGCGAAAACGTTCAACAAAGGATAATCGCAAGTCGCAGTTAAATCGCAAACAATTTCAAGCACAGTGCAACGAAAGACCAAGTTATAGGAAAATTCACTTTCAATATCTCCGCTTTGCAAGTTCAGAAATTTTAAACAGACGTCGACTCTTCTCGTAGCTCCTGGTGAATAATCATCTTCCAGCCGATCCGAGGTGCGTACAATAACTGCAAGGTTTATATCTTCGCGTATTATCCAAGCAACTTTGTCGTTAGTTTTGAAGTAAAAAGGAACTTGTGCTTTAGCGAGAAGTTTTACTGTTCCCTTGTACTCGACGTCCTCCATGTTTGATCGCACTTACTTCACACCAACTACTTATTAAAGCGTATTTAATACCTATTCCTGAGTTGCGTAAACGTTTCCTCCACCTACTTCCATATTGGGAACGTTTTACCTTGATATTGCGACAGCAGAAAACATATGTTTTGGCAAAATTACAACAATTGAAAATGATCAGTTACAATTTTATTCGCCAATATTATTTCCGGTTACACCATTTCTAAGTGCATATTTACGTGACCGTCACGCCAACAATCTCATTTCCAGGGCCTCTCCCCTTTGCCTCCCATGTATTGTCTTTCCAGTGCCGGGTACAACCATCAACATGGAACTTAGACAGTTTCACTTTGCAACTTTATTAGCTGGTTTTCCTAGCTTTCTCATGACGTATTTAATGATCTGTACATCGGATGGATTCCCTCAAGATAAAATGAACGTTCTTTTTATAGTAGCCGACGATCTGAGACCAACGCTAGGCAGCTATGGGAATACTGTGGTACAGACCCCGAACCTTGACAAGCTCGCACAACGTTCGATTCGCTTTACCACAGCTGCTTCGCAGCAAGCTGTTTGTGCTCCCAGCCGAATTTCATTCCTTACTGGCAGGAGACCGGACACAACAAAGCTTTTTTCCAACGAAAAAGCTACCTACTGGAGGGTGAATGCTGGAAATTTCACCTCTTTACCACAACACTTCAAGGATAGTGGTTATTTTACCGCTTCCGCAGGAAAAGTCTTTCACCCAGGTATACCAGAATGTGATAAACCGCATGTTGCAGCCACATTTCGAGCGAAATCATTTCTCCATGTTCTAAGTTACACTTTTTGCGCATTCCCATTCCAACTAAGTTACACTTTTTGCGCATTCCCATTCCAACTTTCGTCTTGAAGTTGAGTTGGCTCCCAATTTTATTTGGGCCTGGGTATCCTCCAACTGTATTATTCCACAGACTCCTAATAGAACAGATGCCCAGATTCCAATATTTACATCTACCACGTAGAACTGGGTGAAATATCAGAATTTTTCCTGTTTCTGAAACAAGACGTCTTCGCTGCACGCAGTATAAAGAATAGCACCGCCGTATTTATTTCTTTAACACTTCAATCCCTGAGAGTGACTCGCATCTAATTTCTTCTTTCAATATCACCCCTTAATCAAACATTAAGATCATGAGAATAAAAGAAATGATAATAAACTGAAGAACCTCTTGATTGTTAAACAAATTCTCCTTGCCAGCACATTAGGAAATGTATAGACAACAGTATGGAGAATATGCATACTGATGTTCAGGTGTAAAGGGTTAATGGTTAACCCTAACATCAGTATACATGTTCTCCATACTGCTATATATACTTTTCCTAAGGTGCTGACAAGGAGAATTTGTTCAGCAATCAAGAGCTTTAGTTGATAATTGTCTCCTATATTCTCATGATCTCGAATGATTCAGCAGTATCATTGTGAGGACAAACTAGATGCTGGTTGCTCTTAGGGTTTAAAGAGTTAAATTACCTACCTACCCCAGCATATGTAGCTATATTACCGAATACTTTTTATCCCTGTTGATGAGGTGGATCGGCAAAAGCTTGGGAGCTTATTCAACAGTAGCTTAAGGCTTCAGCTCAAACCATTATGTATAATTATGAAATGGTACTGTAGGATAACTTGCAACAGTCACATAAAATTTCTATTGTTTTATTCAAGAGAACAATGTCAGCATAGAAACCACAGGTTTTATACCAATGCTTCCCTCAATTGAACATTTCATTTTGTGTCCACATAATAAACAGATCTATCATATTGTGTTACTTACATCAGATAATATCAACAATGGAAGATCAAATTTTTATCCATGCATGGCATATATATTCTTTATAAATTTAAATCAATATTTACATTGTACCCTGGTTGTTTGTTTCAGGAAGAGCATCAAACTTTACAGATGATTATCCATATAGTTGGACCATTCCACCTTATCATGCTTCAACTCACACATACAAAAATGCAGCGGTGAGTTTGTTTAGAATTACTGAATGTTGGAACCCTCTATAAATAGGACTCCAAATATTTCTCAGGAAGAGGAAGGAAAATCATTGTTATCTTTATGTTCAGAGGCATAAACTGGTTGTATCTCTTGATAACATTTGTGGCAGGAACAAAGACCTTCATAAGGATTCTTCATGTCTGATGTAGCAAAAAATATTGCTGCAATCCTTCACCTTGTCTTTTCAGACCTCAAGGCATCAAAATGTCCTGTAGGTTGCTTAATATTCCCTCAAGAGGAGTAGTCCTGTCTTGATATATTAGATTACTAATGACCTTCTAGTTACACTATTATTCACAAATCATTTCTGCACACTTTCTTTCTTTCTTTATTTATTCATTTTTTTGTCCTCTTAATAGGTATGTCCAAGTGCAGATGGTAGACTACACACCAATATTGTATGTCCTGTTGATGTTGAAAAGCAACCAGAGAGAACATTGCCAGACATTCAGAGCACTCAATATGCTTTAAATTTCTTAAAAAATCACACTGATTCAAACAACAACAATCAGCCGTTCTTCCTGGCTGTTGGCTACCACAAGCCACACATCCCTCTGAAATTTCCCAAACAGTTCCTTGACATGTACCCCATAGAGGA